TAATTGACTAAAATATCCTAGTAACAAAAGACGTGCTGAAATAGGGAAGCAAGTAATACCATCTATTCAGACACCCAAGTTTCTGGCATTGTATAACAGTGGTTATTTCAGAAAACTACAAAAATATCCACTGCAAAAATCTTGCACTTTTTAAGGCAAGATTATATCATGGGTGAAGTTTCTCTAAAATGCCATTTGGTGATCAGTTTATAACTTAAGGAATCATAAATCTCATTATTTACTGAAATAAAATAATTTGTCATTTAGTTTCTTGGAATAAAATAAACTACTAAAGTTGTTTAAAACACTGAGTTGCACAGACCAAATATTAATTGTTGGTGTTGATACCAGATTTATTTAAAAAAAACAAAACTCACTCTCTTATCAAAGTATCTTTAATATTGGTAACTTTCTTTACGATTTAGACTTAACTGCACTGCAATCTGTTTTTTAATCTCTTAATCTGAATGTTATGAACTTCTGTTGAACACCATCAAACATTACAGTAAACTTTAAGAATGGGCCATTATCCTTCTTTCCCTTCCACTTCACATACTGCCTGCTATTATCTGAAGTTATAAAAATAGTAATATTAGACATCAATACCTACTTGAACTTGTAATTCATAGAGAGTAACTTCAATATAAATGATACCTCATTCTTCTTCATTGGTCTTGATTAGAATTGGAATATGCAGTAAGCCTCAGACCTAAGTGATCTTCAATTCTTCTTACAGTTTTGCAATCAAATTTAGAATCATTCCATTATAGCACGGAGACACTTCTAACAGTGTTTTTGTAAGATGAGCCTTACCTTGAGGAGATGGGGGCATATTCTGGAGGTCTATCGGTTGCCCGCTATCCAAAGCTTCCAAGACCACATTAAATTTCTAATGTGGGGGGGGAAAAAAAAATCAGAAGATTTATACTAGCATGTCCAGGACTTGCTAGCTGCCACACTGAATATTTGACACACAATGCATGTGGGTACAGCATAGGGTATGTTTAGCCTCCAGGATTTCTTGTGTGCATACCTTGCCCGCCTTCATGTATTCCTTTGCTTTCTCCAGGTCCCCTTGCTGTTTGGCTTTTAGAGCTGCTAATTTATACTCCTTCTGCCTCATAAGCAGTATTGCTCGTGTGCTCCTGTTCTGGAGATCTGTGAGAATGAAACAATGCTGAGACGTACACAGAGTGTGCAAAATATGCATGTCCATCTATTCAAACCTGCATTAGTCCTCTTTTGCTTTGAATCACACAAGCATCTTACAAAAGTCCTTCTTCCTCCAGTCTCCAGAAGTCCTACCAGACATAACAATCCCACTTTTCAGATAGAATCATACAATCGTTTAAGTTGGAAAAGACCTTTAAGATCATCAAGTTCAACTGTTAACCTAACGCTGCCAAGTCCACCACTAAACCAAGTCCCTAAGCACCACATCTACTTGTCTTTTAAGTGATGGTGACTCAACCACTTCCCTGGGCAAGGGGTTGTTGCCCCCCCCCCTCCCCGGGCCAGCCTGTTCCAGTGCTTGCCAACCCTTTTGGTGAAGAATTTTTTCCTAATATCCAATCTAAACTTCCCCTGGCACAACTTGAGGCCATTTCCTCTTCTTCTATTGCTTGTTACTTGGGAGACAAGACTACCACCCACCTGGCTACTACCTCCTTTCAGGTATTTGTGGAGAGCAATTAGGTCTCCCCTCAGCCTCCTTTTCTCCAGGCCAAACACCACCACTTCCTTCAGCTGCTCCTCATAAGACTTGTGCTCCAGACCCTTCACCACTTTGTTGCCCTTCTCTGGACACGCTCCAACACCTCAATGTCTTTGTAGTGAGGGGCCCAAAACTGAACACAGCATTCAAGATGCAGCCTCAGCAGTGCCAAGTACAGGGGCACGATCACTTGCCTGGTCCTGCTGGCCACACTATTTCTCATACAAGCCAGGATGTTGTTGGCCTTCTTGGCCACCTGGGCACACTGCTGGCTCATATTCAGCTGGTTGTCAACCAACCCCCCCAGGTCCTTTTCCGTCACTCTTCCCCAAGCCTGTAGCGCTGCATGGGGTTCTTGTGACCGAAACACAGGACCCAGCACTGAGCCTTGTTGAATCTCATACAGTTGGCCTTGGCCCATCGATCCAGCCTGTCCAGATCCCTCTATAGAGCCCTCCTACCCTCAAGCAGATCAACACTCCTGCACAACTTGGTGTTGTCTGCAAACTTACTGAGGGTGCACTCGATCCCCTCGTGCAGATCATTGATAAAGACATTAAAGAGAACTGGCCCCAGTACTGAGCCCTGGGGAACACCACTTGTGACTGGCCACCAACTGGAGTTAACTCCATTCACCACAACTCTTTGGGCCTGGTCATCCAGCCAGTTTTTACCCAGCAAAGCGTACACCCATCCAAGCCATGAGCAGCCAGTTTCTCCAGTAAAACGCTGTGGGAAACAGCATCACAGGCTTTACTAAAGTTCAGGTAGACAACATCCACAGCCTTTCCCTCATCCACTAAGCAGGTCACCTTGTCATAAAAGATCAGTTTAGTCAAGCACAATCATGGTACCTGTTTCCATGGTAGGACTAGAAGCAGCACGACCCTGTAGAGACTCTGATTCCAGATGCTGCACTGCCTCATGAGAGGTCTTCTGCTCATCATCTGCAGCAGACTGAGCTTTAATCTCTGGTAGCACACTGACTGAGTCTCCTGAATTCTCTAGCTCCACTCCCATGGCTTGAGATAACTGAGAACTCTTTCCTGTTGCAACAGGAGGTGGCATTTCTCCCTCATTGATTTTTTTGCCTTTCTTCACTGCAGCCAGCATGGTTTCCAGTGTCTGGCAGAGACAGAACAGCAAAGTCGATAGGCATTTTCATCAAACATATTACTAGCATAAAATCATTAAAACACAAATTCATTCCCTTATACGTGATGGGATCTATTACGCACACCACTACAGACTGCCCTTAAGCTCTCTATTTTTCTGCAAGGCCAACTTCAGCACTAGTGAAAGATGTCTGATTATCAGAGCAACACAATGCAAAGGACTTGTTACCCAAACTATGTAATTCCAAGTACCTCAACACCTAGAATTATTGAACAGCTGATGTGGTTCACTCAACTTTGTCACAGGAAGTCACCAAGGAAGCCATTTATACCAACCGTAGACACATTTTATGTCTTTAAAACAAAATAAAATACACTACTCTGAAACGTCACTGCCTATGTGGATTCAGGGAAGGAAGGAGTCTGCACACCTATTTAAAGCAATGAGAAAAGCCATTAAATACTAACAAAGGAAATGGAGCTTCAGCTAGTGACCTATGGCAAGAAGTTCTTACCAAGGGTAATGTGGGTCAACTGCTGCTCATTTTTTTAAAACTCTTCCTCCACCATAAATACTACCTTCCTCAGTATTTTTTTAATTTAAGGTTCAGACAAAAGAGAGCCATGCAGTTAAAGCCAAAACAAAAATTTTACTTCTTTCCTCTTCCACAGAAACTGAAATGGAAGCACAGAAAGAGAACAACAAAATCTCACCAGTGCCAGAATCACTGCTATTTTTGGTTAGCCATGACATTGTTTGACCTATTAAGCAAGAGTGGTAGAGATACTTTGTTCTGACTGCATGTGAGATTGGGGTTCAGACCAGTACAGCAACCCACACACAGCTCTCTTTTCTCCACGTGTGGGATGACAGACTGACTGGAAATGGAATTAAATGTGGAGATTAAAGTTCACAGTTCCAAGAACTAAGTACAAGAGATAACTGTACATCATTTGTTGGCACGTCATTTTGCTAATTAAGGAACTGCAAGCTGTGAAGTGAGACCTAGTCTATTATCCTTAGTTACACTGCTTAGGCACAAGGAAACTCCCTACCTTGAAAAATAAAGGAAGCGGCAAACAGCACACTAAACTTTGTTATTGGATGAAATAAGCTGTTTTGCCTATCCCTCTTGCCGTTTGAAAGCTCTGGTGGTTTTATGCGCATTCCTTTCAGAGCTAGCAGGCCATGGGCACAGACAGACACCTCCTTTCTTGTGCATTTCCTCTCCCGGGTTTGGCCTCAGTTGTTCCCTTCATACCCTAAGACACCTGGTAGGTAGTGAGACATTACATTCTTCCCTCAGTGGACAGTGCTGAGCTATAAAGCTTTGCTCACCAAAACAGAGCTGGCTGCTGTCTGAGGTGATGCAGGAGACCAGATGAAAGCAAACAGAGAAATACAGGCACTCTGCACAGCCCTAATTGCCAAGCACTACCAACTAACTACAAGCACGCCACCTGGCTGAAAAGATGCAAAGCTGAAGAAACTGCTCCTCCCTGCAAGTTGTAATTGCCTTAACAAAAAATCCTGTTCAATTCTTTTCCAAGCACAGTCACCACACTCAGGGAAAGGCATCACCTTCCTTTGTCTCAGAGAACCTAGTGAAAGGTTAGTATCTACAGGAGGCCATCAGTGATGAACTGGAAGGTATATGTGCTAGGAAAGCTCCTAAAATTTTCTTTAAGGTAACACTGAACAGTCATCACAGGTCAAATTCAGATCCAGACAGGTGGGTTTCACATCAGCATTTACCACAAACTCTGTCCCCAGCTACCACTAGCCACATTCAACAGAAACAAATCCGATGCACAAAAAGCACTATATCTATGTATTTGCTAGAACAGATTAGTAGTAAGTAAAAATAAGTGTTTTTAAAGTAACTCAAGGCAGCATATTAGAATTTTTCTCTCCTTTGAGCAAATTCATACATCTGGAGAGACTCTGAACTACACCCTGCTTTTGCCTCCCCTTCATTCACAAATCTGATGAACCCAACTTACCTTAAGGCCTCTTTCGTATCGGCGTATTTTGGCACTCTCACCCGACTCCTTTGCGTTAGAAATTGCTGTCCTGTAGTTAGCAATTCTCTTCTCTATTGTCTGTTGCAGCTCACTGGTAACAGCAGGAAGTGAGGTGGTCTCAGAAAAAATAATAGAACAAATCAAGAAAACTTATTTCATCCAGCTACATAAGTTTTCCCACAGCACTCCTCTTCTATACACACTCCCATTAATCGAGCGCACAAGGACGAAACAGTCTCTAAAACAGAGGAGCACTTGTACTACGCTAACGGTCCCTGGATCCACCTCTGGGCTTTCTCTCAAAGGCGTAATAGAGAAGAATGGGTGGAGACATTTAGAAAACTCACAGTCACAGGCTAATTGGAGCCATGTGGTTAGGGAGTAGGTGAAGAGAACAGTAAAGTCTCTCAAACACCACACAACAGAGGGTGTGAAGAGGTATTTTGGCACAAATCTTGACTTTTTCTTTTCTTATTTTTAAAACATGCTAGTTTACTCCCTTCCGGGCTTCTTCAACCTGGTTTTACAAGAGCTCTTTTTCCTCCTTCTACAGCCTGGAATTAGTTCAGTGACAAAAGCAGCCTAAGCAAAGTTATGGGGAGCTACTTACAAACACTCCACAGCTACAGACACTTTTCAGATGGCTACTGATGTAATTATTGCCATTATTTCTATAGAAATGTTCCCAGATCCATTTATTAATGGGCCCAATGCACAAGGGCACTGGAATCTGTAGCACACAACAGAAACACAGCAGTAACCAAATAAAGGATTTGATTGCATGAGGATTGACAAACGAAGCTGGGAAAAGTAATGTTACTGAGAAAAATTCCACAAAGATATCAAGGATGCTGAGTTATAACAAGTCTCAATTTTGGCACACTGCTCAATACTCTGAGGGGGAAGATACCAACTCTGGAAGCCTGAACTGCAGTCTGTATGCTCATATCTATAATGAGGGACAAGACATACTTGATTCCAACTGTTTACCCCCTCAATTCTATGCTAATATTAAAAATCATCCTCTGAAGAAAGAAAAAAAAATCACTTATATCGATACAGCATTGGTTTCCACAGAGAACACAGCAATAGTGTAGTTTTTCCTTCCTTGGAGAACAAGACCACCTCTCTAGATCCTTGTTTGTGACCCTCCTATAAGCTGCATGACAATAGTGATTCAGCAATACTATCAGGAACATGAAGCTCTTTCCTACCTGTGTTTGCAGTTCAGGTTGCTCGTTCTCTGGTTCATCTGTGGATGACTCCATTGTTATCGCTTCATTCTCACAGCTTCCTGTCTCACCTTCCGTCCCCAGAACTTCTTGCAATTCTGCCTAAAGTAAAAACCAACAAAAGGCTTTTCCTCAAAATTTTCTATTTTCTCAAAAGACAAAGTAAAATCAAGTCTCAAGCTCCAAAACCTTTGGATGAACCTTGAACCCAAACAGAGTCTCCAAACATCTTATATTCTAGTCATTTTTTTAAATTATTTTATTTTTAAATGAAACTAGTCCACTTGTATTCACAACAGGAGGCCGGATACCACTCAAAAGCCACACTGCAGCTCCAGGATCACCACACAAGTTTGTGGTTATAGATCTGAAGCTGGAGAAGTTCAGAGAAGTACTTTTACAAAGATCATTCAAACCCAAATTTGAACTTTTCCAAAAGCATCTATTAACAATGGCAGTCAAAAACACTGCTTAACACTCCTTCCCTAAACCCTGCCAACTAGATCACTCACTGAAATGACAAAGAATTTCTTGGGAGATAATTCTCTCAGGCCAAGCACTACTCGAAGCATTTGCAAAATGGTGACAGACATCACTTTAAGGAGTATTTCCCTGGCTGTATTTCACCAGCTGACATGGAATGGGATTCCCCCTGTTCCCCCCACTTCTCTAAGACCCTCATACATATGAACTTCAGTTAGGAAACTCTCCTACTCTGGTGTGCAGGGGGTTGGAGCCTGCAAAGCCTTATATATAATGGAATGCTTTTGCAATATTTTAGCTTCTCACCACAAGATTAACAGATGTTTTTGCTAAATGCAGTTCCATAAAAAAAAAAAACAAACACCAAAGACATACTAAAATTTTTTGCCAACAAAGTTATGCATACCAAAAGGTCTGTATCCTTCTCCAAGTCTTCTTCATTATCTTCTTCCTCCTCATCTTCATTCAGGTCCTTCATACACTCTGCAGCCATCTTTTCAATATGATCCATGGGCAGGGGAGCTGTAAAAAGAAACCACAAGGAGCCATAAACCCTAAGTAACAGTTATGCAGTCACTGGATATAAATTCTAAGGAGTTGCCACCAGCTGAAAGAGAACAGTGACTTCTCCTCTTGCTTCCCCTTTATCAGACAGTGTCATAGGTAAATGAGAGTATATTCATGGATAAAGGACAAAGACTGAGGAGGTGAACATCCAGGAAAAAAAAGTAATACTAGTGTTTTTAAGAGTGACAGTCAAGGCAGGCAATAAGACAAGGAAAATGACTGCATCCAATAATCCAGCTCAGAAATTAGATCTCAGGGAGAATTACTGTCTGATTACTAATAAAAGGAGCCTGAACTGCAAAACCATAAGCACTGGGATAGACTAGCAGGTATGGTGGGACACAACAGTGCTCAGAAAGCATGGCCACAAAAGAGAAAGATACTGTGGTAGGTTTGCACAGTAATGACATTTAAGACTGTGTAAGACAGACAAGTAGGACTGGATTAAACAACTGCTTCAGGGAAAAATTACTAGAAGTCACCTCAAGCTCCTAACTGATTTAAGATACAGATAAGTACTTCCATGATATTATTTACAAAAATAACTAGTAACAGAAGCTTTGTCATTATGGAAGATTTCAATTTTCCAAGGAAAAATTGGAGAATACTACTATTCTCAGATGCTATGTCAAAACTGTACTCCTCAGTTAAGACAAAAATCAATGGTGGCACAACAAAACATGAACATAAGCTGTTGATGGATAAATCTGATTAGAACTTTCTATCCATGAAAGGAAATTACTGGAGCTGCCTCAGTCCCCAGTAGGAAGAAACTTCTAAACTAGTTTTAAGTTGATGCTAGGTATTTATGAAAGGTATTTATGACATGATTGTCCATATTAACAAGGTCTGGACTCAGCATCCTTGTTGGGTCTTTCTGTTCTATGTCCTTTGTCTCATGTCAGTTTACCCGAACAAAATCTAATTCACTCCTGGTGTAGCCTGACTGACAAAATAAATTCTGACTCCATATGGAACAGACATGGTCCACATCCATCCACCTCTAAGTGCCAACAAACTATTTCTTTTTCCCAGTTCTAGCCTTTTTCTTCTCTTCCTCACATTGAAGTTAAAATACTCCAGTTCCCAAAGATCTGCATGTATGCATACAACCGAGTTAGCCCAAGTTAAACGCATGAGATGTACTAGACACTTGCGTTAAACACGCCAGCATACCTGCCAGTAAAACTTCTGTTCACATTTTCTTTCAAATCCAAAAATATATTATTGTGGGTATTACAACAGCACATGCAGCCATAAATCAGAACAAAGTTCAAGGCATTTACCATAAATAGTGCTGAGCTCAAAGAGTTCCCAAACTACAACTAACTAAATCACTGGAGTTTTGTATAGGGTTTACATTACACTTTAGACTCCAACAGCTGATCCATTTTCTCAATCTACAGTCTTAATCACAAGAATGTCTCTCTCTCTCCATCTCATATTGAACTAGGTACATATTTAACCTTTGACTCTGATGATGCACGTCTCAATTTTAGAGACATACTGAACAACACAAGCCTTAAGCCAAACTACTGGCTGTTAATATGACAAGCAAGGAGGCACAGCAAGTTATCCCTATGTTTGAAGACAGCAAGAAAGGAGGACAAAATCTTTCTACCTTGAGAAACTACTTGTTTTATACATCAAACACCACTGCAAAGTCACACTTGGCATACGAAAACAGAATGGTCCAAATCAAGGCATCATACTTGTCGTGAGTCCAAAAGCAGCAGCAGGACACTGGCACAGAGAACTGCTAAGCAAATCAGAAAAAGTGCTGTTTCTTCTGTCTCTCTAACTACACTTCCGCATTTTCTGCATTGCTGTCTCATGCCCATGAGATTTTCCCTTTTCCAAATCTTTCTTGGCTACTTTGTCTTGCAATTTCTCTTCAAGCTTCTGGTCTTCACCCTGAAAATTCTACTTAATTCCTCCTTGCCGAGTTCTCATCTCTACTTAACGCTCTGTCAACCAGATCTTCCTTAACTATCAACTTCCTCCACGCACTCTCAAAGGTGAAGTTATTTGCAAACAAATCCCAACTGTCCACGTAAATACCTGTGATACTTCCCTATGCAGACATATGACTGTGACTCACCAGTGTCAGTAAATGTTGCATAAAATATAGATCTTCAGGACAGAGCTTTACAGTCAATTTAAATGGATCTAAACCAGATCCCATCCGATCTCTGCATTTGCTGAATCAGCTGAAAATTAACCCAAGTACAAAGCTGTTTCCATTCAAACAATCTAATTTACCCTAGCAGTGCTTCAGTACCTCTATCAAACATGTAGCTCATATATTTGCCCCTTAGCAAAACTCTGCAGCTAGGATGGTAGGCCATATCCAAAGGCAACTGGCTGTACTTCATGGGTCAGTGTCCCTCACATGAAGCCTCACTAGAGGCAAGAAAGCCAATAGAGCCTCCCCGGGTGGTTGGTTCAGCTCTAATCCAGTATGGCAAGTTGAGGCCACAATTTCAAACGTCCGAGTGGCTGACCAACTGGCATTTATCAGTCACAGATAGCAGAGATTTCTGTACTTAAGATGTTGCAACAGCACAGCTTTTGCTGCCTGCGTCTTCAAACTAGAGGGAGAGATCGCTCCCCACACACACCATCAGAGCTCCAGAATGTAAATCCAGGAATGAATTACTGCATCTTGTGCGCAGCTGAAAACCGAGCACTAGTATATATTGTACTGGGTCCCTTTTCTCTTTCCTTCTCCAGACAGGATCTGTCTCTCCCTTGTCTTTACTGTACCCTCCTCCTTTCCAGGCGCCGGCCTGCATCCTGCCCCACCACACACCATGTCCCCATCACTGCACTGTATCAGGTCTCATCAGTCCCCAGTGCCAGTTGTTCATCTTCCACAAGCTTCTAATCTATATACTCCTAATTCTACCAGGAAAACAGAATAGCTGTAAATGGTTTTGGAAAATAGTTCTATAACCATAACACATACTTTTAGAAGGCATAGTAAATGTTAATTTTGCACTATCTGAAGTTTCATATCCCTCTTATGAATAAAGACTGAAAAAACATATTAAGTGACATGATCAGGGTGAGAAGGAAGTCAGCACTTGAAAAGCTGACAAGAATTCAAAAACTCCTGACACACAGATTCATCCTCAAAACACTATCCTTCATGTTTTAACCATGAGCAACCTATGCCCAATGGCAGAAGTTCTGCTATTGTACTTATTAGCACAATTATGCTTATTAGCTTTAAGAGTTTACTACAATCTTGAAATCTGGAGAGCGGAAATGATTTAGAATTTAGTTTTAAATACAAACACTTCTGTCTCTCATCAATTACACTATTTAGACAGTCACTTTTTCTAAATATTTTGAAATTGTTCACTTCCCTGCTGCTCTGTGCAAAGTCCCTTCAAATATTACAGCCAAATTACTGCAGAGCTGCAAGTAAGGCTGTAGTTGCACTAACCCTTCTTTCCAGCATCTGCTCACCCACCTGTATAGCAAGGGGAGGTCCCACTCTCCTTGCCCCATCTCAACCACTTGCTGCCACCCCTCCCTTACGGCCACAGCAGCATTCAAATAGGCAGGTAGCAAACCAGACCAAGGAACTGATTCAGCTGAAAACCTAGCACAACAACAGAAGTTTGTTTTTATAGATCAGTTTCCTGAACCAGCTCACCCTACAGCTCTGCAAATTTGTATACCAGCTTAGAGGTAGAGCGTGCTCACTGGAGACTGCCCCTCTCAAGCAGCAGCCTTGATTCATAGTAGGTTACAGCAATCCTGTAAAACACTGCGTAGCTGCATGCAAACACCATAAGACAAAATTAACTAGTGCTTAAAATATTAAGAATAGTAATGATCCATTCCAAGAGACACTCTAACCTCCTGTGTAACGCAACCTACAAGATTCTGCCAGTAATTCCATCAGTTCCAGGATTTTCCTCCTGAAAGAGTATTCAATTTTGGTTACAGACTCCAAGTAACTAAAAATATAATGTTCATTCAGTAAATTCAGTCTTTAAACAAAAACAGAAGAACAACCAAACAGCCCACCCTCCACAAGAAACACAGTTTCCATTTTGAATTCATCTAGCACCTACTATACCTTTTTATAACTTCATCTGCTAAACAAGCATGTCTTAATTTAGTCATTAAATTGGGTAGTCATCATATATCTTTCTCCTAGGTCTACAAGACCACAGACAAAATAACCTCTTACGCTTTTTGTGGAGTAAGAACTTAAACCTTTCAAAGTAAAGGACAAAGTAGTTGCAATTTCAGCTTCTATCAGTGATGAAAAAACATTTTAGATAAATCAGTAATTTCTAAATAGGTATCTTTAATAAATTATTCAGGTTGTCAATAAATAAAATCCAGATACTTATACTTACTTTTCCCCTTTGGTTTTGATTTCCCTTCTTTCACCTTTGCTCCTGTGATAGCAGCAAGCTCTGCTTCAAGGTCCCCATCATCCCCACCTTCTTCTGCACCCAGCAGCATCTCTTCAGGGTTGAAATCTACAAACAGCCCCAGCTGGAGCCAAGGGAAAATAAAAAATAAAAATGAAATACTGCAGTTGGACCTGAGGTGACACTCAAAAACATCACACTGCATGGATTATTTAAACATTTTCACGCATTCTGGATTCTTTTTTTTTTAAGCCTACTATCATACCACTTCTATTACCAAAACAATGCATACCAGGAACCCATAACTGACCAAATCTTAATAAGCCACAAATACTCTCTCTAAAACCCTACACAATCAACAACAACTTAAAATCAAGCCTATCTAATAGTCTGACATAACAAGGTAAAATTAAGTGATGTCTGTTATACTGAGCTTCACGATATCATCAGGGAAGTTCAGGGCAGTTCCTGTAACAGCTAAGCTAAAAACTATTCAATCATCGTTCAGGCAACAGAGGTCTGACACGTGTACACTGCAGAGATTTCACCCTCATCTCTCAGAAGCAGCTATATTTACATACACAGAACTGTTCTGTACTTCTCCTTACTTCAGTTTGTAAATCATAAACACATGGAAAATGCATGCACACACCGAGAAGAACATAGCCATCATTACAAACCCAGCAATGCCTACGCTATGCTGGAGAAAACTATCAACTGTCTGGAACAGATCATCAGCTAAGCAACAGCATCTCAGGTAATATTATTTACAGTAATCAGAATTTGAAAAAGTAGTGGGGGCTATCACTCAATTGTTGTAAAACATGCCAAAGGACATAAGTATCAAAGAAATCTCCGAGGTCTTAGTCTAAAAGATATTCTTCTAAGATGCTATTTTATCACAATTTTTGTACTGCTGGTTAAGATACTAACTACCTTAGAAATAGCAAGATTTTTATTCAAAGTATGCTAGGCCTTTTTTATAAATATGAATTAACTGAATTAGATTCGTCCTATGAGGTAGGTGGAGTAGCTTTCCTCACACTTTTTCAAAGCACAAGCCTCTGTTGGCCTACAGGTCTTCACACGGCCAAGTAGGCAGCAGTTTAGCTTCTCTCAACCAAAGGAATAAAAATCAGTTGTTGTTATTACAAGGGTTAACAATCTCCTCCTGCCTCCAAGGATGTGAAGTGCTGCCAGAAGCTGAAACTGCCTGTCAGTTTATAAACTAGTGTGAATATGTAATAATAACTTCTTTTTTTAACCCTGCAGGAATTGAGGTGCTGGTAGTTATTACCTTGAAATATTTTGTGTCCCTCTTTGAACCCTTTTATAATCCCAAAGGAGAATGTGAAACATAGCTGAGAAACAGCAGTTCCAAGGACCAGGAACAGTATTCAAAATCAGCAGCTATTTGTTTACTAGCCCGATCCTGCCCTTGACATTCTGTAAGGCACTGGGCAGATCAGTTAGCCACCCTCTGCCTTATCCATGTCCCTTCTGTAAAACAAAACGAATAGATTCACAGTCTTGGATAGAATGAAAAGGTGGTCAGGACGAGATTTAATGAGGAAATATTTATAATGGCGATCTAAAGATTCAAATCTATGGAACATACATACACCTTTTATCAATGTGCAAAATGGATCAGGAGCACACGTGATCTGCTCGTTACTACACTGCACATGTAGAAAGTGAAGCAAGTGTAGTAATGAATGAAGTCAAGAACAGAATCCAGAAGATCAGTTCTAGCTCTAAGTCTCTCAATCTGTTCAGTAAGGCACACTTCCAACAAAATTAACAGTATTAAAGAAAAGTTTAACAAAACAGAAAAAAAAGAGGTTATAACAAACTTGTCGTTGATACGCTACATAGCGCAAAACCAGTTTCAATTGAGTTAATTTGCAAGTGAACAAGCTATTAGTGTATTTGTTTCAAGAAACAATCCTCCAAGCTGTAAGACAGGCTGAATAACTGCATTGAATTAGAAATTAGTAAAACGTTAATCAGATGCTTTATTTACTCCTTATCCTTTTTAGAGCATGGTTTCTTGTTTTGGAAGGGAAGACATTTTCACCTTTTATCTTCTCCCTTGTTCAAATGAACTAAATTATATACTTACCTCTCCAATTGAGAAATGCAAACGTTCACATTAGAGCAATGGCCACGTTATGGATCTCTAACTAAACCGTGAGAATATTGGTTCCTAAGAAATCACCAAAAGAGAGCATCTTAGCTATTTTCTCTATTCTAATATCCTAATCCAATCTCTTTTCATATTTCCTTATATTCTTATCAGTTATTCCTCCTCTATATATTACCTGCCTCTGTACTACCTTTAAAGGTTTCTAAAGTTCCATTCTGGTTCTAATATATTCTTTACCTCTCACTGCACTCTGTTTTTCTTCCACTATTCTACCCAGAATTTTGCCTTGGCTGTACTTTTAATTTTGACACTGTTGCCTGACTTCCTACATCTGTCAACCATGACTAAATCATGTTTAGAATCAAGGCTTCTGAAAATACATCCGAAGGCAAAGAGTATGAAAAAAACCCCAACACATGGACACATCTAAGCTTACTTCTGGCTACAGGAGAGGGACATAGGCTTATCAGTCATCTGTTGCAAGAAAAAAATACTATACACAGGGAAATTAAAATTAACTGTCTCTAGTGTAGTACCTTAATGTACTCCCTTATGTGCCCCTGAATTTGTTATTTGATTTTCTGGTCATCTTATTTCTGTTTTCATAGAGGTATAAGAAAAACCTCTAGGTAGTTATTGAAGTTGTCATTAAATCTCAGTATAGCCAGGGTAGGAAACTACTATGAGCATGAGTCATGAGGTCTCACGCAAAGATTACAGCATTACAACATTTTGGCTTCCCTGCAAGACCTCCACTGCTGCGTATCAGATATTTACTTCAAGAAAAATGTGCTAAAGGAGAAAGCAGGAAAATAAGCACCACACAATTTAAATTTTTTTACGGTCCTGCAATATCTTATTAACGCATGGCAGATTCTAGCAGGACAACAGCAGTAAGAGATCTGAATGCAACTACCCTGAAGAGCGGCAAAGGTTTCCCTACCTGCTCTGCAACCACATTTCCCTGGCCCTTTGCCTTCCTTACCTGCTTTGCAACTGCAGCTCCCTGGCCCTTTGCCTGAGGGCTTTTTTTAGGTCTTCTGCCAAGCATGCTGGTTCATGAATTTCAGAGGATTGTGTCTCTGAGGGACTGAGAGCACATGGAATTCAATGTCAGTATCTCTGCCTGTCTCAACGCACCGCAAACTGGAGGAAGGCAGGCAGCGCAGAGCAGGCTGTGCGCAAAACTGCAGCTTTCACCGGCACCCCCAAACAACAGGAACCACCCCGAGTGAAGGGG